TCTCTGTGCAACAGCTGCCCGCCCAGCCGCGGCCTCACCGGCCTCAAGGAGACAGGCTGTGTTCCCCCGCTGTACGGTTCCCGCGCCCCGGCCGGCTGCCTGCGCGCACTCCAGGCTGGGTCCTGCCCCGTGGGACGCGGCCAGCCCCGCGCAGCGCGCCCTCCACCCGAGAGCCCGCCCTGGGCGTCCGCCGCGCTGCGCACAGCACTGAGGCGGAGAGGCAGTGGCGAGCCTGCGCGCTGTCCCTGTGCGCCGCCAGCCGGTGACAAGAGCTTCCGGGCGGCCAGTGGCCACCCCCTAGACCCCTCCCGCTCCTACCTGCCCATCTGCCAGCTATTGCGGGGCACAAGTGCCCCCTAATCCTTGGACCAGATACAAAAGGCCCTGACCAGATGCAAAGGTGGGGTCTGGGGGGTGTAGGCCCTGGGGAGGCGGGACTGAGAAAGGGTTAAAACCTTAAGCCTTCTACCCCTAATCCTAAATCAATACACCTACTAACCCCTCAGTTACTAGCCTCTGACTTCAGGCTGGGCTGCTGGTTGGTGCCAACTTGTTAACATGCTCAGTAAGGGAAGTGCTGGCTGGGTCCGTGCCCCAAAGGCCTCTCTGTCTACTCAGAAACCCTGCAGAGCACCCTTCTACCCTGGTGCATGTGAGGTATCCACTCGTGTTTACTTCAGAGGGATGCTGGAAGCTCAGACCCTCCAAGAGACTTCCCAAGTGGATAAGGGAGTCTCTTCACCGGGCTTTACAAGGGGACAGTTCTTTCATGGTCTCTTCACAGGTGGGAAGGCCCCCTGCCCCAGATGGAGGTGGGAGAGCAGGCTTTAGGGAAGCTGGGACTCCAGAACCAGGGCTCACTCACAGTCCAAGGAGAGACACCGGTTGTAACCAGACCCTCTCAGTCAGGGGACCAGGTGCAAGGTAGCAGGAGGAGGGAGACCATCAGAGAGAGGTTCCTGGGAGAAGAGGTGGCCCCAATGAACCCAGAGGGAGGAACAAGAGCAGGTGGCAAAGGGAGGGCAGAGGTCATGCCAAGTTCTGGAGGCAAGACCGTGAGGATCTGAATCACTGGTGCCCGTGCTCAGAGACAGGGGCTGCACACAGGGTTTGGGGGTCACTCGAAAGATGAGAAGTGATCCTGCAGCCTCAGGAGACACAGGGGTGGGGGTCAGGTGGTTGGAAAAGTCACCCAGAAGGAGGTGGGGTAGAGAGGCTTCCAGAAGGTGCCACGGACAGACCAGGGCAGAAAGGCTGTGAATAAACAGTTCGTGACCAGCAAGCCTCGGACCACCCAGCCCCTCAGGAAAGGCATGGTGGATAAGTAAGCATAATGCATAAATATGTATTTCCAATCTCCGACGAGAAAATGAATACCTTCCTGTACAATACTTATCCTCCAAATGGGATCAAAATCGAGTGGCATGTATTTCGCCGTCATCCTGGCATTTGTGTGCGACCGTGTGGAGGAAGCTGGTGCAGCTTCCGATGCCTCTCTCGGTATTTCCCAGTCCCTGCCATGGTGCTAGGCCAGGACACTCCACAAAGTGGTGTCTAAAATTCATCTTGATGTTTGAGCCCCAAATACATAAATCGTGCACACACAAACCAGGTGTGTGCATATGTGGGTATTATTTACAGATGCATATGCCTACATGAAGATGCGTGTCCGTGGTCAGGAGTCCTGGAGGGGCAGTGGTAAAACACTCAGCTGATTTGAGACCACCAGCTGTTCCAAGGGAGAAAGACAAGGCTTCCTACTCCCACAGAGCATTACAGTCCAAGAAGCCCATATCCACCCTGTTCTACAGGATCCCTGGGAGTTGGATCAACTTGACAGCAGTGAGCTTGTTTGGGAGTGAGCTCACTCAAAGGTCAGAAGTTTGAACTCATCGGTCACTACATTATAGACAGACGAGAGAGACACTCTGTTTCCCCCAAAATACACAGCCTTGGAAACCCTGGGGTGGTGGGGACAATTCTGATTGTAGGGTATATAGTTTCTATTTAATATACTGTTCCTCTTAAGCTCCAATGCATAATGGCCCTGTGTACGACAGACCAAAACACTGCCCGGCCCTGCGCCATCTTCACATCATTGGTTATATTTGAGCGTGTTGTTGCAGTTGCTGTAACAATCCATCTCTTTGAGTCCTCCTCTTTTTTTGCCACCCAGTCTGATGTCCTTCTCCAGGGCCTGGTCACTCCTAACGACATGTCCAAAATACTTAAGTCTCACCATCCTTGCCTCTAAGGAGCATTCTGGCTATACTTCTTTCAAGACAGACTCATTTATTCTTCTAGATGCGCATGGTATAGTCAACATTCTTGGTCAGCATCATAATTCAAGTGCATGTTTGTTATGCACAAGGGAGATTGAAACGTTGATGAAAAAACTCCAATATTGTTCAATTCATTTTTCCACAAACTTCATGCAGCCCAGATATAGATGCATAGATATAAATGTAGATAGAGATATATTTTCAAGACTTACTGCCATCAGGCAGATGCGGACTTTAAGTGAACCTATAGGGCAGGGTAGAACTTCCCCTGTGGGTTTCTAAGACTGTAACTCTTGACAGAATTAGAAAGCGCTATCTTTCTTCTGTAGAGAAACTGGTGGTTTCAAACTGCTAACCTTGTGGTTAGCAGCCCAATGTTTAACCCACTACACCACCAGGGGTCCTAGAGATCTATTAGGATCATGTGGTTTCGCCTGTGCTTGGAATCATAACAAACCTTGAGATCATTGCTAATACACCATGCCAGGGATGTGTATTTTCCACACACCTGCACATGTGACAAAATAATGTTTTGAAAGACAGTCTTTGGGGTCTTCCTCATGATATTCCCGGCTCATGGGTTGACAGTGGACAGATAGGAGGATGCACAGGGACAGCTGTGGAGCCCACAGGAACACCAGGTTCTTTTTGCTGTGAGATATCATGGCCCACAGTGGCAAGCATGTCCCCATCCTCTGTCCAGTGGGGTGTTGTCCTCTGAGCCCACTGATACTGCACACCCACCACTGGCTGTCCTTCTCACAGATGTGTCCCATCCATGAAGTGCCTCAATCCCAACTTGGACCTCCACAGCCTCAGAGGACAAGACCATGAACAACGGAGGGGCTGTTGGGATTCTAGATGGGAAGGCCTCCTCCCTGCCCAAGGGGGCCCCATGGAGGGCCCACTCAGGGTCAGGAGACTCCATGAGGTCCTCCAATCAGGGGATGACCTCCCTCCATCTCATCCCTGGAGCCAGAACTCAACATAGACTCGAGATTTCCAGAACTCCCTCTTTGTTTGTTTTGTGTGTGTGTGTGTGTGTGTGTGTGTGTGTGTTGCTCTTTCTCATTCTGTGTCTGTGTTTCTCTCCAATCTGTCCGCCCTTCTTCTTCCACACGCATCTCATGAAACACCAACTCCTTCCCATCCCGTCATGGAGACAGCTCTCAAAGTCTTCTCTCATAGGTCCCCAAGGTGATTGGGTAAGACTTTTCCCAGGTGGGGGTGAGTGTGAGTGTGAGCCTTGGTGTCGCTGAAGGAGAGGAAGGACAGCATGGGCACCGGCATGGCTGGGAGTGGACGCACCCTCAGAGGCTTAGCACCGAGAGTCTACCGAGCTGAGCCTGGTTGTGTCTGACTCAACTGTGCTAGGATATGGGGTCTCCTTGCTCACAGGGCCACAGGGACTTGAGCCATCTCAGCTAGAATAGCCTTCCTTCCTCACAGTGCCTGGGAAGGCCAGTGTCCAATGGGGACATCCAGTGATGGCAAGAAGCAGTTGTCCTGGGATGTCAATTAGAAGCCATGCACCACAGCTCACGGGGGAAGGTGGCCCAGGGCTCCCTTGTGTCTGTGCAAGTCCTGCTGTTTTAGGACAATTTAGGGGGCACCAGACCCTGACTGTTGGCTGGACAGAGAGTCTGGACTTCGGCTGGCACAGCTCAGAAGTCAGACTTTGCTTGTCTGATGGTGTGCCCTTGGGAGAGGTCACTTAACCAGATGGCATCTCAGTTCTACTAGTCCCGAAGAAGGGGACGACAGTAACCCGTTTGTGTGTGTGAAGGTTACAGAATGACAACGTGCCAGGCAGAGCAGCGCCTGACACCCAGGTAAGTCGATGCGGGAGTGAGTGGGAGGGGGAAACAAAACAGGTGCTTGGGCAGCTGTGCTTCTCTGTCAACCTGCTTTCTCCTCCGTCCCCTCAGTGCCACCAACTCCACTCAGGGCCATCCTATTTCTGGTCGGCAACAGTAAAGGCTTCTTTATTTCCCCTAACTGAGTCTGGTGAGCTTTGATGTCTTGTGGATGGCCCCTCCTTACGAGAATGACAAGGCTGCGGAAGGTGAATGTCAATCATGTCCAAAGGCCAAAGGCAGATGAAGGGAGATGGTTGCTTTATTTTGGTTTGCTTATTGTGGTAATATAATATGTCATGCAATATAAAATGTGCAGATAAATATGCAAATTTTATATTTACATATAAATTAGATGTAATAGAAACATTGCCATTTTAGCTATGGTAAGTGTCTAATTAGTGGCCCCAATTGTTTTCGCAATGTTGTGCAGCACCCATCACTAGTTGTTTTCTGCATTTGGGGGACTCAGGAGAGCTAGTGGCAAAGTGATTACACTTGGGCTGCTAACCACAAGGTCAGCAGTTCAAAACCACCAGCCGTTACATGGAAAAAAGACTGGGCTTCCCACTCCTATCAAGAGTTACCACCTCAGAAACCCACGGGGGCAATTCTACCCTGTTCTATAGGGTTGGGATCA